ATATTAAATCTGATACATAATATTAAAAATAGTAATTAAGTTGTAATACTTACTAATACATATGGAAAAAAGTAATAACTAAAAATGTTATAATTAATAAATATAAATATAAAACTTTTAAAACTTGTACATATCGATGTAAACGAGCACGATTGTTACTTTTTTTGTGCTTAGTAATTATAGGTGTATGTTTTAGGTTATTGACAATAGTTATTTGTACTTTAATCTATGTATGTTAGGGCATTTAATTTTCTTAAAAATAAATTGATTATTGTAAGTTTAAATAATTTTTATTTGTTATTAGCTTTTTTAATAAAATATATAAATATTATATTGCATATGAAAATAATACTTATTTCCATTAATATGTAGGGAAACTAATTCAATTGAGAAATTAATAGGTAATCTCAACATAAAATAACGAGTGACTTGTAAGAAAATTATATGGACTAAAAAGTAGAGAAAAATTATAAACACAATTAATAAATAAAAAAATTACTACATAAACATTTTAATGATTATGAAAGAATATAAAAATTCCATATTATAATGAAAAATCCAACAGTAAGGTATTCCACAGAAAATACCAACAGATATTTCACTGGTATAGCTTCTATTGAAAAGATTCACTAGCTATTCCAATGGTGAGTAAATTAAATTACATTGAAATTTTGTGTGGATTTAATATCTCAATTACTAATATTTATTTTTGTATGAATTTACGTTGGATTTTTTTTTTGGTCATATTTCAACCATTAAAAAAATTGTCACTGAAATTAGGAAAAACAATGAAAGTTCCATTGAAAAACTAGCTGCAATGGCGAATCCAAAATAATTTCATGTTAAGAGTACTATCTAATTAATACAAAAAGTATTGCATCAAAACAACATAATGCCATTACAATTTATAAAGTATACTTTTCATAATTTGTCAACTTTCTCATATGTATTACTTTTTTTTAACACATCAATACAATCACAATAAGTTCAACAATATTAAACAAAAAACATATTTTTTCTCAATTCGACATAAGAAAATCATAAAAAAATAACACATTTTTCAAAATGTTTTTATGAACAAAAATTTTATGTTGTAGTATAGTTGACTCGACAATATAATAGATGATTGTATAAATTACGAATATATAACAAGAATTCTACATACACTTAAAAAAGACTTAAAATATGTTTTCTAAAATTAAATAAAAATTATGTCGCAAAAGAGAGATAATAAGATATCATCATGAATAAAAAGAAAAGAGAGAAATAAAGTGTAAAATTTTAAACTTTGATATCATATTTTCTGTAGTTGGGATACCGCATTGATGTTATAATTTTAATAACTTTATGAGTTGAATTAAATTATAATTGGTTGAGTTGTAAATAAATCATTATTTGTCTTTATTCTTTTAATTTATTTTCTAAGTAGAGGACATGATTAAAATTATGAAAAATATTCCCATAGTGCTTGTTAGATATCTTATGCTATTTGTTTTGGGATGATGCCAGTTTCGGGACTATTGGACAAACATGGATCTGCACATGATTGCAGCAAAATATTTTTGTTATAATTTTCATACGAATATTGTAACGTTGAAATATTCGTTAGAATTGTTGTTGAAATTTCGTTGTAATATGTTTTCATTGGAATTTCATCATTTTCTTGTAGTAAAAGTATGACTCCAAATGAAACTAAAAAATTTGCACTATATATAATATTGTGTGCAGTTAATTATTTTGAAAATTATTGATAATCATACAAAATATAACATATTTAATGTAATTATAATTTAATTTATGATAATTAGTAATTAAAAAAATACATATAAGTTGAAAAGTCCTTAAATAATTTACTAGTATTATAATAATTAAAGAAGAGGCCAGAATGATGTTCTACTGAAAATGTAATATTAATACTAAACAAGATGTAAAAATGATGTTCTACGTAATAAAAAAGTAAAACTACACAACGAGAAAGCTTATAACTGACATTCCACTAAAAAAAAATGATAAAATTAATAAATGTCATATATAAATTGGAGCTAGCAAATGATAAATGTAAAAATATACTTGAGATGCACATTTATAATAAATATATTTATTTTTTTGTCTTAGAAATTAAATTTTTAGTTAAAAAATTAGTTAATTTTTACCATTAAATTTCTTATTTTTGAAATACTTAATTTTTTTTTTGGTTACCCTTTTATATGTAATATATCATATCATTTCTTTCCCATGATATTTGATTTTACCAATGTTTTGTAAATAAAATAAAAATAATATAATTATTTATATCGATGTAAAATAATATATATATATATATATATTAATATCAATTTAAAATAATAAATAGACCTAAAAGAATCTTATAAAATAATTATAAATTCATGTTAAATAAATTTTATTAATTATAAAATAATATAAGATAAGCTTGTGGTATATTTTTCTGACATAGATTTGAATTATTCATATTAAGAAAAAAGTCAACTAGATGTAATTGTACAACTACTACCAATATTAAATATGTGAATTAAAAGAAAAAAAATAAATCGGCTGTATGTTAAACTATTATTCAATTATTGCTTGAAAGGGAACACCATAATGGTTGTAAAATGTATTTTTTGTGAATATAAACATGAATTAGTTACTTAATATTTTATCAGAACATGGAAATAAATTCAAAACTTTTTAATATTATAAACAATATAAAACTACATTTTTATCAAGTATATTATTACTATCAAACACGTAAAAAGAACGCATTGAATATAAATGTTCTCTAATTCTTTCAAGAAATAAAATATTATTTGTGAATAAATAATAAAAAAAAACAAGTAAACCAATAGTAATGCAATGAGGAAAAGAAAATTTCTGAATTTTTTTTGAAAAGTATGAATACTAATATCAAGAAACAAAAATCTTTTAAAATTACTACTTTTTTTGTTGCTAGCATTTAAGTATATGTTCTCTATAAGAAATTAGTTCTCATAAATAATGATTCGATATTATCATAAAATAGACCACAAACTTCAATAATGACTTCATAATAATAAACTTTACAGATGATTAAGAGTATCATAATATAGTATAATTCAAATTCTTCTCATCTGAAATATTTTGACAAATACTTCTCAATATTGTCTCATTGTTTTGTTTTGTTTTGTTATTATTGAAGAATCAATAAAGGATCTTTATCTTCAATATTTTATGATAATATCGAATGTTTGATAACACTGAAAAAGGGAATGTTTGATACTGATTAAAATATTTTGAAATATTTTGCTAACACTGAAAAGGGAATGTTTGATACTGATTAAAATATTTTTGAATGTTGAATAAGTTGTCATTTTTTTATAAGAATATTTACAATCTTAACTGTGTATTATAGTCGATCATACGCGCAATTGTTTTAGAGTACATATTTTCATGTAATGTGTGATGATTTTAAGAAAATAATTTAGCATCTTCAGAGAAGTACATGATTTGGGAAAATCAAATTTTATTTAGATATGAAATTCGTTCCCACCTCATGGGTAAGTACCAATTTGTCTATGTGGAGAGAGAGAAAGAGAGAGGAGAGAGAGATATGTAGTAGTTTATACAGTGATTAAAAGAAATATCAAGAATTTTATTAACACAAATATCAAGAAATTTAATGCTACAATTGTTTATTTCACAGAGATACTAGTTAGCATGTTTGTTTATAGAATTTTTTGGTTTTGTTTAGATTTTTTGATTTGGTTTTAGTTAATTTTGAAAAAGGTGGTATGGTTAGTTGTTAGTGGGTATATTAAAATAATATTTATAATAAAATAATTAAAATTGATATGATGCAAAAGTATGAGAGAGATATTTGAAGTGATGGTTAGTTAAAATAATGTGAGTGGATGAATAGTGAATTAAGGTTGATGTGGTGTGTATGAATGATTGATTGATATTATTTAATTATATTGATAATTTTGATGATAGTAAGAGTGAGTTAAAGTTGAGTTAAAAAAAGTGGTTGAGTTAAAATGTAGAATTTTTTTTTGAAAATTTCTTATAAACAAACATGCTCATGAACTATTAGTAGAAATACCTTATAATAATCATACAATTATAAAATTTGACTAATGTATTTCTAAGTGTTAAATAAAACAAACGTTTTGTCAAACTAATTAAGAAGAATTTTGCAATACTATTGATGTATTAGAATTCAACGAGTATGAATGTTTCTTATGAGAACAAAATGACTCTTGAATCTAACATAAATAAATAAAAGAACTCATGCATCTATAATATAAATTATGTCTCTATTTAGTCATTTATTGTTTTTTCATTAGGAACTCATTTTTCATATATTTTTGTTGGAGTTGTAATATGATATATAAATTTTTTTATATTACGGAAACATTTTTTTATTTAAAATAAAATGCATGAAAAGTTTATTCATTCTACATTTTATTTTGTTCCTGCAGTCATATGTATAATAAATTAATTAATTTATCGTACTAAATTTAATCGGTAAAAAACATTCGTCGCCACGTGCATCGCACGTACACTTTATTAGTCACACATTAAACACATGCTACACTGTTTTTCTACGTATTCATATTCACTCTTTGCACTCTCAATTAACTTAAATGTTGGAGTGCTTAACGCTGGGTAAAATCTTTATGTTTCGTGCATAAGATGCAATTGGAATTAAGGATGGTAGAATCTTCTGCCCGAGTATGCCTACTGTTGTGGCATTGACCTACCGCTAATTGTGCACAAATATTACTTTTCACTACATAAGGGGAAACCAAAAATTTTAAAATATTTAAAATACAATCCGCAGAACTATGATATTTTTATTATTAGACCTACACACACATATACTCACGTGTTAACCAATATATAGTAAAAATCTGCAGTCGGGTCAAAGTTCTAACTGTTTTAACGACGGCAAAATCCCATTTAAAAAAATGAAAAAAAAAAAGNTCTCCCTTTTCCTCCTCCTCAACATCCTCTTCTTCTCAATGGTTAGCTCCACCAAAGTCGGTTGCCCCACACCAACTACCCCAAGCACCCCAAAAACTCCAAAAACCCCAAAAGCTCCTAGCACTCCAAAAACTCCAAGCACCCCAAAAGCCCCGAGTACTGGTGGGCACAAGGGCACGTGCCCCAAAGACACTCTAAAGTTGGGAGTTTGCGCAAACTTGCTTAACGACCTTGTCCACCTAGTCGTGGGGACCCCACCAAAGACCCCTTGCTGCACCCTAATCAACGGCTTGGCTGACCTCGAGGCAGCCGTTTGCCTTTGCACGGCTATCAAGGCCAATGTCCTCGGCATTAACCTCAATGTCCCAGTTTCCCTTAGCCTCCTCTTGAACTACTGTGGCAAGAAGGTCCCATCTGGCTTCCAGTGTGCCTAAGCTACCGTTTGTCTCGTTTTCAATTCTTCTTGTTTGATTTAAGCTTTTTTTTGTTTTTGTCGTTATTTGGTGTGTTTGGGTTTTGGTTTTGTGCTTGCTGGTATAGGGTTTGTGAATGAACGGGACATAATGCTCATTATGTCGATCTTCTTTTTTGGGCGTGCTTTAATTTGGGTCTGTATTTTGTGGGGTGAACGGAAAGGTGCCTCACTTTCTGTCACTGTATGTAACATATTCTCATATCATATGTCTAAGTAATGTGTTGTACGTGCATGGATTTTAATTTGAAATAAAGTGAAATTATCCAAATGTTCGTTTTTATTTATGATGGTGAATGGTGATTAATGATTATTGAGCTTACTATATGAATTGATGGCGATGATGTTTGACGTACGGCTAATTTGATCCTATCAACTAAAACCCTTGGGACAGATTTGAAAATAATTAGCTATGGTATGATAAAATAATGTTCGCCTTTTTGGCAGTTATAAGACTCTAATCAGTAGGTTAGGTCTATGGGGTTGTCAATTAATTATACATTTTGCATTCGTTAGATTGTTTCTTAAACTTTTTTTTTTTGGTATGGTCGTTTTCGGATCTATGAAATTAAAGGAATGTAAAATTGGCCAATATGACATTCTAGTTAATTCAATATGTGTCTAGATATTACTAATTCGCTATATAACTAGAGATAATTGAATTATTAAACTAGAAATAATTAGAATAAAACCAAAGTGGCCCAGAGGAAATCCTAATGCATCTTGCTCATATATTTATTTATCATAAATGTCTGTCAATAAATTTCAATTTCAATGTTATAGTTGTGTTGAAAATTTCCAGCCTTGAGTTTTTCGGAATCCTTGAATGGCCCTTCCAACAAACACCTCGTTGTTTCCATTTTATTTTCTGATTTATTTTTTCTTTCTCCTTTTTTAACTGTACAAAACAAATTTGAATTACAGTGACCAGAAAGGATAAGGGA